ATAATTTTAGACTCACAGGAGGTTGCAAAGAAATGTTTAGAGAAGTTCCAGGTACCCTTCTGTTTATGTTAATGTCCTAAATAATTATAGTACAACATTAAAACCAAGAAAATGACATTGGTGAGATCCAGAGAGCTTTCAGCTTGTTTGTATCTCACCAGCTGGACCTGCACTCATGCATGTGTGCAGCCTCACTATGTGTTGCCATGTGTAGCCATGACCACTACCAAGATGCAGGACAGCCTTGACCGGGCCACCTTCTGTGACCACACCCACCTCTCTGACCTATCCTTAAAGCCTGGTCTCCATCTTTGCAGTTGTGTTATATGTGACTGTTACATAAATGAACCATACACTATGTATCCTCTTAATTTTGGCTTTTTATATTCAGCATAATTTCCTTGAAGTTTCTTTACTTCAGTATTTTGTTAAAAAATTCTGTAGGAAGCTTGTTCATTTCCACCTCTGCCTTTGTACCTGCCATTTCCCCTTCCAGAATGCCCTCTGCCATCCTCTCTACCAGTCAGCACTCATTTTCTTCTTCAGAGCGCCTCACTGCTATCTGCTGAACCCATCGGACATCTCTGTTTTAGTATGAGTTATGTGTACCTCATGCTGTATCATTTTCCACCTGCATGTAGAAGGCAGAGACCATGTCCACCCTAGCTTTATATTTCCAGCATCTAGTACATGCCCGCAATGTAGGAGGTACTTGGTAAATTACTTTTTTGGATGAATGAGTGGTTGAAGTCCACAATTTGGTTCTTATACTGTGTCTTTGGTGTTGTCTTCCCAACTAGACTCTAAAGTAGATTGTAAAGTACTTGGGAGCAGCCACTGCATTCCACTTACTTGTGCACACCAGGCCCCACTCAGAGTTGCCGTGGCTATTCCTTTGTGGCCTCAGTGAGCATGCACCTTGTGCGTGCTGGGATGAAGTAAGGGTGTGTTTATGGGGCTGGTTTCCCAACCACCCAGCCTGACCTCCTACAGTCAGCAGGATGGACCTGGAGATGTCGGGGCTGAGGACCCTGGAGCACGTGGCAGTGACAGTGTCCATCACCCACCCACGACGTGGCAACTTAGAACTGAAACTCTCTTGCCCCAGCGGCATGATGTCCCTTATCGGCCCCCCCCGCAGCATGGACTCGTACGTATACCTACCTGTACCTTCTGAGCTCTCTTTTCGACAAGGGCCTTTTCGAGGAATCGAGCATTGGACACTGGTGCTGTCCTAAGTCACCATGGCACCAGCTGGCTTTGGCAACTGCAAACCTTTTGTTATAGGTTCAGTGTGAGGACTGACAATGTGCTAAGCACCTCACTTTACATGTATTTTCTCTAGTCCTTATATGAACAATGAAGAGTAGCCTTTGTAACTGCCTTTCACCAATGAGGAGATAAGTCACCAAGCTAGTAAGTGCCTCAGAAAGTAACAATAAACCTATCTGCCTGACTGCCCAGGCTGTGCCTGCCCCATATTTGCTCTTTCCACTAGTACATTGACATAAGTCCCCCGTCACATGAGATCTCAGGGCAAGGGGCCACACGTGAGGACCCCTCATGGCACCTTCCGAAATGGCTGTAGCTCAGGCAACAGCTGCTACATTTTCATGGCTACTACAGTAAAAAAAGAATGTTTCTGGGCAACAGAGTCAGCCCATGAAACGTTCTCCATGGCTCCCAGGTCTTCTACTCTGTTCTTTCCCTCAGGGATCCCAATGGCTTCGACGATTGGACCTTCTCCACTGTGCGATGCTGGGGGGAAAGGGCGAGAGGGTCTTACAGACTCATTGTCAGGGATGTAGGTGAGCCTGCCCACCCTCCTGTCAGGGCCCTGCCTTGCATGATTGTCATCTGGTTGCTCTGGATCTGAGTCCCCACAGAAACTATCCCATGTGGAATGTATAGGGTTGCCATTGGGCCAGCAGGGTAGATACCAAAAACTAAGCCCTATTCAAAAAATGGGTGCTGATGTCTGAAATGGTTCATTTATACAACTCCTGCCCTTGGAGAAGTGGCTGATCCATTTTTCCTCAGGATAGCAATGAAAATTCCTTGTTGAAACCACATTTCAAGTCCTTTCCCATATAACCATCCTTTGGCCAGCCCTGGTAGGCAGATGAGGGCAGGACTGGTTTTCATCATTATTTTTGAAAAACAGGCCCACCTGGAGGTTTGAAGTGACTTCTGTAAGGTGACAGAGTATTTCAGTGAGGAGCCTGGAGATTGAACCCAACCCTCCCAACTTCCCATCAAGTTAGGTATTCACTAGACTGGTGGTTTTCAAACATTTAATTTAGTAGGAGACTTTTCCCCCCCTAGCAAAATCCCTGCTGAAACCCTAAAATATGGAAGAGATAAAGGCAAAACTTCTGTGCTTTGGAATGTCACCTTTCAACCTTTCCCTTTCCACCCTTGAGTGGGGCCTGTGAGGCAGACTGTCAAACCCTAGGCTCAGTGGGACACAGACAGCTCCTGCAGCAGACCTTGTGGTCTGGTCCCTTGGAGGGGTGGGCGTGTAGAGCAGGCAGGGCTTCTACTGTTTGCAGGGCCAGTAGAGGGCATGACTTAGGGACCACCTCACTTGCTGCCTAGGAGATGAGATGCTCCCGACTGGCACCCTACGGCAGTGGCAGCTGACCCTGTATGGCTCTGTGTGGAGTGCAGCAGACATCAGAGAGAGACAAAGGTAGGTGTGGACACATGTGTCAGAGGGAAGGCAGCTCATGGGGATGGGGAAGGAGGCCACTTGGGGCATGCCACCTCTCTGGGAACCCACAGAGTGTCCTCCCCTTTTTGTCATGGGGCTTCACTCTCTTCAGCTATAAGCAGAGAGGGTGGGGAAGGGCTGATGGTACCAAGTTCACCAGGGCAACCCTGCCTCTTTTGTTCTCCACAGACTGTTAGAAGGTGCTATGAGCGGACAGTACCTGCATGATGGCTTCACTCTGCCCTGCCCTCCAGGGCTGAAAATTCCTGAGGAAGAAGGTTACACCATTACCCCTAACACCCTCAAGGTACTAGAGCTAATAAGACTCACACTAGAGGCAGGGGGAGTGTCTTGGGGGAGTTTGTCCTTGGTGGGATACTCCAGGTGATGGGGAAAGAGGTGTGTGAAGACTGGGGCACCCTCTGCTAGCTAACTCTCAGAGGGTGTTTGTTATGTAGGTAGGTGAGTGGTTTGGGCTGGGAGACGCAGTCCCCAGTAGGAGAGAGACTTTCAGAACTCATTGTTCTGGGCTAAGCAAGGCTGCAGGCTTTGGGAAACTGTCCTTAACTTAGGTGGTGGGCTTTCCCCCCAGACCCTGGTGCTGGTCGGCTGTTTTACCATCTTCTGGACTGTTTACTATATGCTGGAAGTGTACCTGAGCCAGAGGAACGTGGCCTCTCACTCAGTTTGTAGGAGTGAATCCTGTCGCTGGCCCCAAAGAAGCCGAAAAGCCAGGGAGGAGGGGACAGAACTGGAATCAGTGCCACTTTGCAACAACAAGGATCCAGATGGAGTGGAGACAGAGCATGAAGGCCCTCCCCCTGCCTCTGGTCTCCTCTGCCCAGACCTGTTAGATCAAGGGGACTGGAGCTGGTCCCAGCACAGGAGTGCCCCAGACTGCCCTCTTCACCACCTGTCTCCAGACCTGTTGCAGGGGAAGGAGGAGCAGGTTTGCTGACCCAGTGCCTGACAGACTCAACATGAGACAGGCTCTTCCTTCCCCAGTTTTGGGAAGTTTGGAAAGCTGCTCCGAAGTCCCAGGAGCCCTGGAGAGAAGGCATTCCTGATGCTTACCTCTGAAATCCAAAGGCTCTAGAGCACCCTCGGACTGCTCAGGGAGGGCCAGGGCTTTCTGAAGGTACAAGTGGCAGAGGAATGGCGCCAGAGAACAGTGTGGCAACAGCCACAGGATCTTTCTCTAGCCGAACGGGGGCTTTGGGTGAAAAGGCCTTAGACAAGGGATTGGCCACCATCCCCTGTTGGGCAGGCCTCTGTCCTCATTTCTGTGGGGCAAGTCAGTGGTGTGGGCCATAGGGACCCTCCCCCATGCACACATGGTGAGATGGTGACATGGCTGCCACGACCAGAAGAGCATCTCAGCAGAAACATCGCTGGAGTCACTTGGGAAGAGAGCTCAGAGGTGAGGCGGGGAAGAGCCCCTGGATGTGCCTGTCCTTCTAATGACCCAGCACCTGGAAACAGCAGACTTCTCCTCTCCCTCACCTTCCCGCCTAAGCCTGGACCTTGCACAGACTGGTATGGCAGTCGGCCCTCAGCCTGGCACACTGCCCTAAAAGCAGCTGCCTCCATTTCTCCTCATCAAAAGCCAAACAGGAAAGTACTCCTGACTCCTTCCCTATCACCCCCCTCCCTTCACCCTGAAGGGTCAGTACGATGCTCCTGGCAAAGCTGAGAGTGGGCATGGCCCCCAGGGGTGTGCTGCTTCACTAGGGGAGTCTGCACAGGACTGTGACAGGTGCCATCCACTGCCAGCCCCAGCCCTGGGACCACCCTATCTTCCTCTGAAAAGTGCTCAGGGAAATGGCCTTACCCACCTGCAGCCAGCCATCTGCCTGACAGGCTGTGACTCTTTCTTTCCATTCTGGGCCTTCTCCCCTCTTCTAAGCTGCTTAGTTGATTTGAATTTGTTTTTAACACTCAAGATTTGGTTTTCTCTTTCCACAGCAACTTTCGTTGAATTTTTTTCTGCACAGCTTTTCCAAAATAAAAACCCTCCACACAATTCTGCTGCTCTCCATCTCCTTTTCTCTGCTAAGGTGAGTTGCCAAGTCATTCTTCCTTTCCGGCAACCCCCAAGATCCACTCTCCTCTTCCACTTTCTGGTCTTCTGAAAGAATATGACCCCCTCCCTGCTCTGGAATCCTAGAATGCAAGGGGTTCTTCAGAGGACATTGGCCAGGACCGTGCAGATGGTCCTGTCCCACGCTCCTATTTCCCAGAACCACACAGAAATGACTAGGGCAAATCAAACTCTACCAGGCAGGCCTGAGAAAAGATTAATGTATATTTTTTTCCTTTTTGAATTTCAACCCCCAAAATATTCCAGCAAAAATTGGAGGGAGGTTGGGCTGGGTCTCCTTCAATGGGCATGTGCTGCCAAGGAGGACAGTGGATGTGCCCCACACCTAGGCCGCCCCCAGCCCAAACCCTCCCTGCTCATCCCAAGATGGGGATAGACAGTAGAGATGGTGAGGGAGCTAGGAGGAGGTCCAGGGAGCAGTGTTTGGGGTCAGAAGTCGGGCTGAGGGGTCAGGGGGAATTGCCCAAGCACAGTCCCCTTTGCTCAGTGATGGACCCTCTGAGCCTGGAAACTTGACTGGGGCTGAAGAACTACACTTGTGTGGGTAAGGTGGGCTAGGCAGGATGGCTGCAGCCAATAAGCTGGGGAAGGGCAGGGCTGGGGGCTGGCCCTCATCCTCTAACTGATGATCTGCCGGGGTCTTCCGTAGCCAGTCATGCCAGCCTGGGAGGCTCCTCTGTTGCTGCCCATTTGTAAGCCAATGACGTGTTTTCCCTCCTGCAGCTGGCTGTCTGTGAATTCCCTCTTATGCTCCTGGGCTTTCCTAGAAGAGGAGGAATCGGGACAAAAACTTGCCAGGACTGGGTGTTTTTCACCTGTTTTTTCTTCACTCTGTTACTTCCTAGCCTGATCCCTTTCACTTCTCTTATTCATGACTACCGTGCCCCTCAGGCAAGGGAGACTGGATGAGCACAGTAGGGTAGAAAGGAAGGAGTCAAGAACTATTAGGGACCCATTTCCCCCTCTCAGAGACCTTCATACCTTCTAGCTATTACACTAACAGCTTAGCCCAAGCCACCTCCCTTTTCACGCAGAGACCCAAGTGTAGAGTAGCTACATACTTCATAAACCAGCTGGGATCTCCACGATAGTGCCCATCATTCTTGGTTACTGCCAAGCTACCCAGGGCCATCAGGGTCCTCTGCACTGCTGCCATGTCTTTGCCTGTGAGAAGAAAGAGGAAGGGCAGACAACCCTCAGGACTGTATAAAGAAGACTCCCAGGGCAGGGCCTGATCCCACTTCAGAAAAAGGGCCAATCAAAGGCACAGGTTATCCCAGAGTCAAAGGGCCCAGAATCAAGGGAGGTCCCATGGTATGCCCTTGTGAGTGTGGCGTGGTCTTCCTTTGGCATAGCCCATTCCTGCTATGCACACCCATCGTTGGGGTCATTTCTTCACCTGCCTCCTCCACCCCTTTCCTTTGTACCTTCAAAGAGGTCAACAGTCTGGAACATGTCGGTCTTGGTGACCCCATAGTCCTCAGCTGCCTTCAGGAACTGAGCCACCTGCTCCATCTGCTTAAAGACCATGGAGGGTGGGTTCTCAGGCACCTTCACTGGCTTGGAGCCATCAGGATACAGGCTGTTCACCAGCTTGCTCAGAATCTGCCGGGCATACAATGCAGCTTGGCACTTGGCTCGGGGTACCTGCCCCACAACTCTGGCAGGATGGCACAGCCCCAAACCCCTTCCCAGAATGCCACTCACCACACCGTTCTTCAGCCAGACCTGGAAGCCCAGGCGCCCACGGTCTGGGCGGCCCACATCAGGGCCACACTGCACTATGATCCATTCCACCAGCCGCTCCTCCAGCTCCTCATCATACTTCTTCTCAATTTTGGATTGCACTTCACGGCTCATGCCATAGGAAGGTCCCTTGTTGGCCATGTTTGGGGAGAGCTTAAGCAGCAGCAGCCAGGTAAGAGAGATCAGGGGGTTAGAAAACAGCTTTGCTTTCACTTGCATTGGGAAGATCCAGTTTTGTGGTCCCCAGCCACTCTAGATGTTTGTCTTTCTCCCCTTGCTCCCTGATTCCATTCTCACAGCACTGCTCATCTGGGCCAGGCTCATCCAGGCCAGGCTCATCCCCTCAGTTGTAGGGGCTTCTCCAAACTTGGAGACCAGAGGAATAGGAGACCAGATCTTTGGCAGTCTAGAGCAGGACTCAGTGAACATTTCTGAATATGACCAGGGCTCAGTATTTTAAGCTTTGCAGGCCATATGGTCTCTGCCATTGTCCCACAAAAGCAGCCTTAGACAATACATTAACGAGCACAGCTTTGTTCCAATAAAACTTTATTTACACAGACAGCAGGCTCCATTTAGCCCATAGGCCAGTTTAACAACCCTCAATCCAAAGCATTCTTTCTTTGCCAAGAGTGGCCATAGAGGTACTGGAGAGGCCTTCTGGAAGAGGCTACATCCCACCACACCCCCTAAATAAACCCACCACACCGCCTAAATAAACCAGCAGGAGTCTGTCCTGCTACACATGAGGTGGTTTACTGACTGTACCTCAAGTTATGGAGTTGCCTCCATCTTTTACTTCTCCCCACCTTTTTTCTCTAGCCCAGAAGCTGGAACTCCAAAACTCTAGTGCTTTTCCAGGTCAGCTCAGACTCTGACCTGCAGCTGAAGAGGCTCAAACTTATCCATCCCTGGCAAGGTCTAGAAGACAGCAATTCTGGGAGCTTTTGGCCAAGAAATTGCATTTCCTCAGGGAAGTCAGATGAGATGAGATGAGATGTGAGGGAGAGAGAGAGAGAGAGATGTACTGGTATACCCATGGACGCCCCCTTGTGCCCAGCCTCTCACCACTGCTGTAACTTGAGTAATTTAAGAATCCAGAGTCCTCCAGGGAAATCGGAGAGCCAAGAATCTTCCTGTCCAGACAAACAGCAGCTGCTGCCCTGAGGACCTGGGGCTGGTCCTGCTCAGGAGAAACCCACTAATGGAAGGGGAAGACTGCACGAGCAGGGCCAGAAAGGTAGGGTGCTGGGCAAATGTGGGTATGGTTGCTCCAGAGGATCCTAACCTGGCCACAGGGATCACCCTGGGGTGGTGCCTAGAGTTCATCTGAAGAGGTACCAAATGAGGCCATACCCGTCACTGGCCTCAGAGAGGTCAAAAGTTGAGAAGCAGAGGACGGTCTGAGGATGAAGGTAGTTGGCATGTTCCCCCAACTCCCGCTCTTGTAGGGAGTTGAGACCCTCTCCACACCCACTGCTGTGGGAAGCAGAGTAAACATCAGCACTTCATGGCCATCCCAGGTCTGCTGCCAAACTCCGTTTGCCCTTCCCTTCCTTTCCCCACGGCTGACAACTTTTCTGGGCTCCGGATCCCCACCTGCACAGTGAGGTTGATGGTATCTACCTCAGAAGACTGTGAACACTCTATGAGATGCTGTCTGTGACAACCTAACATTCCTGTTCCCTCCACAGGGCTCCTCAAAACATCAGTCTTTTGCCTCCCAGGGCTGGTCTCCTGGAAGTGGCCTGGGAGAGCCAGCCCCTGGCTGAGAGGTAAAACAGAGTAAGTGTCCTTCCCACTCCAGCCTCCACCCCTTCTCCAAATCACGCCCTGAGAGGGCAACCAAGTTTGAGAGAAAAAACACAAGATGGATTCGGCTAAATCTAGAGGCTAGGCAACTCACTTCTCTCTGGGTCTGTTTCCTTATTTGTAAAGAGAGGCAGGGCTACCTCTGAGGACAGGGTTCTCTGAGCACCCTCCACCTCCTCCCACTAGTTACAAACAGCAAGCTCCCTTCCCCACCCCGCTTCGTGCCTCTGCAGTGCTCCCTCCTCACCCAAGTGCTCCTGGGCAAAGCACAGTAGTCAGAACCTACCAGTCAGCAGGGGCAGGTGACTTCAGCTTGGCCTGCACCCCTGCTTCCTTCCTCCCCACCTCAGCTTCACTCTCCATCCTGGAAAGTGGCACATCTCCCTGGGGTCCAGGCACCCAGACTGAAGCAGAGTGCCCCGCACCCCCAGCTCTCAGTCCCAAGAGACCCAGAACACACAGCCCATGTATCAAGGCTCACAGTGGCAAGGCCACAAAAACTGCAGCCTCTAGATCTAGAGACAATATTTGAATTTTGATCAGAACGGTGGGGGCGGGGTGGGGATGAAATGCCCACACCTCCAACCCCACCCTGCTCCCTCCTGGAGAAGCGCTGGACAGTGCAGAGTTCCAAGAAATCCCTCCATGGCCTCTGATAAAGACCTCCCCAGCCTCAGCTTGGAGCTGCTGTGGAGAAGGGGGAGGTGCTGCAGAGGGTCAGGGGTACCTCCTACCAGCAGGGACCTGGAAAAACTAGCAGAACCAGGGGCCTCTCCAGGATTGCCGTGCCCCCTCTCTCTTCAAAATAAAAGACAGCAAGTAGGAGGGAGCACCTGTGGATCTCAGGTGGCAGAAGACATGGCTCATCTAAAGTCCAGGGACAGAGAACAGCTGTCCTACTCCCTGCTACTCTTTGAATAGTAACCACTGAGGGGAACCAGCCAGACCCTTCTGGAAGGACCCAGGGCTCCAGGCCTGCCCAGCTCGGACTGAGCCACTCAAGCCATCAGTTGAAGCTCCTGGCAGTGCCCAGCCCCCACTCCTCTGCCTATAGTGAGGTGACCTCCCACTGTCAGTGTTTGGAGGGAGCTGTGTACTCAGAGAATCAGCTCTCTCACCTATCCCTGTGCCCTGCCACCCCTGCCTGTTTCAGAATACAAAGGCTTGGTGGTCCTTTCCACTGCCTCAGGGGCTGCCCAGGGGCTCTGCCATGCTTCTCAGGCTTTGGGGACCCAACAGTGGGATACTGCTCTCCAACACTGCTGTCCTCACGCACCTCTCCACCTTCTTGGACATCCTCCTAGACAGGCAATGGACAATAGAGCCCGAGTCTAACCCGACAACACTCTGATCCTATCACACACCCTCTCGCCCCAGTTCACTTTTCCGCTCAGTCCCTCTTCAACAACCAAGTCATTCTGGGCATTTCAATGGGCCCAAAGCTGCCCTATTTTAGCAGTATGAGATTCTACTAATCCCATTCCACCCATCTGCTAGGACCACCTCCTCATCTGGAGACTAGTAATGCACACTGAGGGTGGGCTCCCCCAGTCCTGCCTGTAATACACCCACTGCTCATGTCAAGTTCCAGCCCAACTTCCCTCCAAGCCTGGGACAGAAGCACTTACAGGGGCTCCTCAGGGCTCGCAAGAAGGAATCAGTTCTGCCTGGACTTGGACAGACAGGATGGGCGCTGTCTGGGTGAGGGGTTTAAAGGCCTGCTGCCGTGGTGACGTCAGCTTCCCCCCTCCCCCTCCTCCCACGGTCCCCTCCCCGCCAGAGGAAATGGGCTGCGTTCCCCACCCCCAGGCCCCCCAGTGACTCCATACAGGCTCCATATTTGGGGAAAGACACCAAGTTGGAGCAGTCTGCCAGGCCTGCCTGAAACATTCTCTGCATGCTTTGGAGATGGAGCGAGTGGGGCGGGGCTGTGTTGCTGGTGGAGAACCAGTGGGAAAAGCCTTTTATGGACAGGACCACGAAGGTTTTCCCTGCTGTCTGGACTTAGGGCTGCTCCTTCGTCACTGTTCCCTGCCCACACCCCCACCCCGAGTTTGAGGGGAAGGGAAAATTCAAGAGGGTCTGGCCAGAGAGAGGAAAGGAGCTGAGGATGGGGTGGGGAGGGAAGGCCCATCCTTCAGGTTTATAGGAGACAAAGCAGCTACCCTCTCCTCCAGGGCTTTCAGCTCTCCTTGGATTTTTACTGAGGAATGACTACATGCCAGACACTTTGCAAATGTTCTCATTTAATATTCACAGCTTCACTATGAGAGCTTAATTACCACCCCCACTTTACAGCTGAGGAAACTGAGGCTAAGAGTGCATCTTACCCAAGGCCACAAGGTGAGTTGTGAGTGGCAGAACCTGATCATCCCTGCAGACCCACCGTTTCAGCTGTACCACCTAGATTGGGTTGAGAACTTTTAGTTGGGGAGAGTCTTGAGTTACATTTAGTTGGGGATGAGAATTAAGGGTTCAGCAGCAGCTCAGTCAACCCTGGTCCCCAACTAGAAGATCTCTAAGGCCTGGCAGGGCCTGAGACACCAACACTGGGATAAGAAGCTCAGATGCTGCAATCATTCCTCCTTCCCTTTAGGAACAGTCCCTACCTATCCTGAAAACAGATTCCCTCACTCCAGGAAGGAAGCCCACTGGTATATTGCTTGTACCTGGCTCAGGGGTCTCAGGAAGGGATAAAAGGAGACAACAAAGGTGAGAGACTTTCAGAGGGGTCTCTGAGCTGCCCTCTGAGGCATATTCCCCCCCACCCCCATCATCCTAGGACAGCCTGGCAGGAAGAAGCTAACCCTCTTCACCACACAGGCAATCAACAGAATCTCCCCAGCAATGTCCCACAGGCTAGTGGTGCACGGAGCTATAGTGCTCCCTAGTGGCATCATCAAGAAGAGCAAGAAAAGGAACTGGGGATCAGCTAGAGAGCAGCCTGTGGACCTCTGCTTGTGTCTTGACAATTCATCAGCTTCATTGCCCCCTACATCTATCTTATCCTCCTTAAGGATAAGGAGGATAATACACATCGCTTGTTGTAATACACATCGACCTTCCAGGGTCCTTTCAAAACTCCCTCCTCTTGGAGCCTGTCACCCACGCACCCATGTACCCACTAGATGTACCCACTACATGTACCCATGTACCCATCATCCTGTATTTCCCGAGCACCACCCCAGCCTTGACCTGCATGTTCCTGTCCATTAAAGACATGCCGGGAGCACTGTGCCTGCAGCCTGCCAAGCTAGGAGGAGCTCAGTTAAGAAGCGAAGCTGCCTGACTGGATCAGGTGGGCAGAGGTCACTGCCACTTGCCAGAAAGGCGTGAGGCATCTCTGACCAGATGGCACAGCTAAGGTTTTTTCACTGTTACCCTCTCTGCCCAGCACAGTGCCTGGCATGGAGCAGGCCTCTCATAAACTTTTACTGAACAGACACCACTACTCAAAGGAGAGGAAAAACACAGGGGAATCAAGGAACTGTTGTTCCCAATGGCACTGGGACTTGGAAGAGGTAGACCAGAAGAACTGGAAAATGGAAGACCCCTGCCCTGCCCGACCCCACATTCTCAACATATACACACCCAGAAGAGCAGCAAACAGGGTCCAAGAACTGTGTCTGTTGTTTCTTTAATTGAACGCAGACTTGTTCATAGAAAACAGAAATGCAACCATAGCAGGGAAACAGACATTAAACGGAGTTCTGAAGAAAGGCCCAGACCCCCTGCTCTCCCCAGACCAAGGGAGGGCTGCAAAAACAAGCCAGGGAGAGTAAAACACATTCCCATCCACAAGGCAGAGGCCTGGCCTGACCTCCCAATCCCCACATCTGGAATGGACCAGGTAGGGCAAAGGGGACCCCAGGACCAGAGCTACCAGGGGTCCCCAAGCTGGGGCCACTCAGTGTAAACTCCAAGGTTCATATGTATGCATGTGTGACCAACACAGACCTGGGCTGAAGACCGGATGGAACTCAGGAGCCAGCCTTGGGTCCTAGACTGACTGAGGCTGGGACGAGGGACAGAGAGGGAAATGTCATGTCCCTTCCTTGAGCCCCTTTCTGTGATAGGCACTGGGGCTCCCATGGTGGTGGAGGAGGCAAGATGCGCTGTGCTCTTTGTAGCCTCCCTCCTTTGCCCCTGGACATTCTTGGGCAATGTCAATGGCACTGAAAGACCCCCAGCTGGGACTTGGCAGGACTAAGGGCTTGGAAAGAAAAAGGAAGGAAGGGGTGAGTTGCTTTTTCTTTCCAGTCCTGGGGCTAATCAGTCTGGGAGCTGATGGAATAGGACAGTGACCTCTGAATTCAGCCCCTGAGATCAAAAGGCAGTTCTCACATATGAACTGACCCTCACTGCCAGAGAGATAGCCAGGGCCCTTTGCAGGTCTTAGCACCATAAGCCTGGCCAGTCCCCCAAATCCTTCACCCCATCTATCCTGGCTGACCAGAGTGGGCAGTGATGATAGGCCGGTATGACCCCAAAGAGAAGAGGGGTCCTAGTACAGGCCAAAGAATCAGGCCCCAGACTGAGGAATGAAGGGCTCTGGGCCACACGCTGGGGGAGAAGGGAAGAACAGGTAGAATTCAAGCCATGAGATGGGCAGGGCAACACTTCTCCCCTACCTCCTGCAGAGAGACAAATGGAAAGCCAAGGACAGGGACCTTGGAAGGCCCCAACACTGATAAGAAAGCAGCAATTTGGCCAATGGCTGGGATTTTAGGTGAGCAGCCCTCCCCACCGGCAGAGGGCAGCTGCAAGGCTCAAGCCCACCCCATGAACATCAGGGGCCAAGTCTGGACTAGGCCTTGGTGTCCTGCTGCCACCCAGCACTGGGTAGCAGGGCTGGGACTCACACCCCTGGTGCCACAGACTCCAGCAGTGAGGCAGAGGAGCTCAGGGCCCCATGAGTAAAGCAAGGGGCCTGGCTTCCGCTAGAAGACATAGATCTTGTCCCGCTGCACGGTGTCCAGGTCATCGTCCAGTGTCAGCAACACCTGGTGGGTGGATGTCAAGTCAAGCACAGGGAAGAGGGCAGTCTGTGTCTGCACCCCACCCTCCCCGCTCAGCCAGTAGAGTCTCATACCAGGAATGACCCAAACATAGCGATGGAGGAGAGGAAGTGCCAGATGTCGTGGTCGTCAAAGAAGTCAAGGAGGATGCAGTCCCGGTTGTGCTCCCTTGACTCTGCAGGGGTTTTCTGGGCAGAAACAGGGAGAGCTGCCTGCTGACACCACCCTGGGACCCCCTCTACCTCCAGGGCCCTCCCTGTTCCCAGCCCCAGGTGGCAGAGCACCTTCTTTCTGCTGCACCCCTTGTCCTCATCTCCCACATCTAAGAACTGGCTTTTGTTATAAATTTCTCCTGCTCTGCCCTCTCCTTTCTTTCACTAAGACCATCCTCCCCTCAGATTCTTCTTCCCTTGATGTGAGAGCAGAGGGCTATCATGGCCTTGAGACACCAGAAGGCCATAAAGCTTCCTAACTCAGTCCCTGCCTTGGACTCTGCCCTCTGTTCTGATCAGGCCTCCAGGGATCCTTCAGGCTCATTTTCTTTCCAAAGTACAATTGTCAGGTCACACAGCCCTGCCCAAGCCTGACAGCAGCCATGACCTGTGGCACTCAAAGTCTATGACTTCTATCCAACAAACACTGGCTGGACCTCACTCCGTATCTGGGGGCGGTCTATGCCACATGCTAAGGTCACAGAGAGGACCAAGAAACACCTTCCCTGCCCTCAAAGAGCTCACAGCCTTCACCTGGCTCCCAAATTAGTACATTCACTGAGTCCCAAGTCTTCCCCATCTAGTTCTGCCTCTGTATCATTACATAGGTCACTGCATCTCTGGGCCACAGGGCCTTCCCCATCACCCAAGGCCTTTAAGGCCAAGAGCAAGACCTGCCTCTTCTAGGAACTTTTCCTGGAACTGCTAACTCTCAGAAGCCTCTGTCCACTGCCCTTCTGGACATTCCCTTGCCTGTCTTGCCCCTACCTTCATCTGGTGTATCATATTATAAACCGAGAGCCAGGGACTGACAGTCCCTCTCTTGAACTAGATTATAAGTGCCTCAAAAGTAGAGTCCATACCAGACTTAGTTTGGATTCCAGGACTGAAACCTGATCCATGGCAGGTGCCCTAGGAGACTGAAGATAGAGCCTGACATCTCTGGCTTCAAACCACAGCTATGCCACTCCTGTGTATCCTTGGGCAGGTCCCTTAGCCTCCCTGAGCCTCAGCTGCCTTGTAAGTACAAGGGGGACCCTCCATGTAAGTTGAATGGTAGGAGGACTAAACAAGACAGCAGCTGTAAAAGCGCTGGCCTGGGGAGCGCTCACAAATGGTGTTTGAAAAGAAAATGGACCACGTGTTGGCTCAAGATGAGCCTGTAGGTGACTCCCCCACACTCTCAGCAGACTGACCGCTCACCTGCCAGGTGCTGAGTCCCTGGAAGAAGAAGAAGAGTGCAAAGCCCCAGACCACTGAAGTACAGATGATGCAGAGCAGTGGGATGAGCTTGATCCTTTCCCCGCTCCGGAGCTGGGAGTGGGGGTGGAAAAGGAAAGAGCAGCCTGAGGGCCAGGCTTCACCCAACCCATTTTCTGGCTGCCCCAGATGCTGCTCTCCTGGTGCCTTCTCCCGGGCTTTCAGGAAGTCTTCTTGAATTCATACTATCACCTCATATAGTTACACCGCTCAACTTGTCCCCACACTAGCAGCCAAGTGTCCTCACTGC